GAGAAAATGACCCAAATGGTCACTTTCCATAGATTTGACATTGTGAAGGTTATCGACTTCGATAAGTCGACGTTTACGAATGTAAAGACTTCATAGACCGATAAAATTAAAATTAAACTCAAGATAAAATTGAAAGTGAGGTTGGATCTCGTCTTAATCACAAACTTTATGTTAATTAATCGAGGGTAACCTCTCACGATCCCGAAGTATAGAAAAATGATCTAAATGATCATTTTCTACAGATTTAAATAATAAAGGTTAAACAACCTCGAAAACTAACATTCGTAAATTCGAAGACTTCATAGATCGAGAAAATGAAATAAAATCGAGATTGAATAGAAAAATGAAAACAAGAAAAAGAAGGTGGTCTCGAATAAATCGCTATTTATCAATTATTTGACCAATAGCAATTTTTAGAAGTCTCGTCATTGACCAACATAGCTTTGAAAATCGAAATAACAAAGAGATGAATCATGGATTAATCATGGGTAAATTCATGAAAGCAAGATTAAACAAAATACTAAAAAACTAAAAACTTGTTTAAGAAAATCTAGAGAATAATAATAAAAATAATTAAAATAAAACCAATTAAAAAACAAAAAATAAAGAAAGATTAAGGGGTGAAGAAATTATGAAGGGTGTGTTAAGATTAAGGTCATCATGGGCTTTAAGCCCATTCACTCACTCGCCAACGGATCAAGAATGGAGGAAAGGCATTGGTAGACAGATTTCAAATGGATTGACTGTGGGCCCTAAGCCCATTCTCCTACTCCCTCAAAACTGGATCCCACACCCCTCATACAACACGGTTCTCAACATAATGTAATGCCATAAATTCATATACGACAACAGTAGAACTTAATTTTCATCATACACAAAAAAAACCATATCAAATTGCAACAAAAACTTCTACAAAGGATTAAAAAAAATAGAGTAAACTCGACCACAAAGATGAGGGAGAGATTTATGGAGAAAATCATACTAAAAATTGAAAGAAGACGCGCCAAGATCTCACTCTTACTCTCTTGCTCAAATCAGGTTTGTTTGTGATTTTTGCGATTTTGATTTCAATCCTTTATTTCCTTCTTCTCTTTCTGTTTCTGTTTCAGATATGTAGTTATTGTTTGCTCGAGTTGAAGAGGAGGAAGTGGTTTTATTGTTTTGAGGAGGGAGAGAATGATGATGGCGAAAGTCAAAGAGTGAAGATGATTTTGGAAATCGAAGGTAAAAAAGAAATTTATCGGCCCCCTTTATAGAATGAATGGGGAGGAAATTTTAAATGACATGAGGGGTGAACCAATTCCGTTTATGCATTCTATGATTCTTGTTTGTCGTTGGTAAAATTGTTGTGTTTTGGTCTTACCTCCCGCACGGCTCATTGTTGTTGCGTTTTTATTTGTCTCAATTCATTTTGCAGGCCTTGTATCATGTAGCATGTCGTGGTTGAGTTGGTTGTACGGAACTGTGTGGTGAGTACGCGACTTGTGAACCGAACGTATTCATCGTGGTTGGTTGGGTCGCGGCTGGTGTGAATACGTCACAATGTTTTTTGTACCCGTTTAGTTTTAAGAATCACGTTCATTTTGGTGTATGCTACCATGGCCTCCTTTTTTTACATTCTGTAAGTAATATCATGATTTAGGAAATGGACATGAGGATTTGTGGCCCAAGTATATTTTTTGTTTGCCATCTTTTTGGAATATTTATTTGGGTTATATGCCATTCATTTATTGTAATTTCTTGTAATGCATTATGGGCTTTTGGTGTAATTTTCTTTTGTGAAAGTGGATTCCATTTCAATTTTTGTGTAATAAATGGGCTTTGTATATATGTATTATGTGATATAGTTTGTGATCTAGAGTGGCCTTGAAATGGACTTGAGAGAAATGGATAAAAAGAAAATGGTTATTGACTTGATTTTATATAATAATGAACTCTTGAAATGAATCTTAAGTCTTGACTATGGATCAATCTCTGAACTTTGTTGCCTGAACCATAATACCAAACTTCTCACCATGAACCAGAGGAACAAGGATATTGTCTAGGAAATTAGAGGATTATGACTTGAAATATGCACATCAGTATACCATAAAAACCTTGACTTTTGATAATTCTCAACCATGAAGCATTGATAACTTGACAAAGCTTGAGACTTAACAGTCGGATCAGATGACCTTCATCACACATTCCTGACTCAATATCCTCAAATGAATCTTGGAACCAGGGCAACAAGCAAACAACATATATTTTTGGATTTTTGAATAATTGTTAGTGGTTGGATGTATGGATGAAAATTTATATACAGGTAGGACAAATTTGGGGTATGACAACTCTTAAAGTCTGTATTGATTTTAGAGACTTAAATGGTGCTACTCCAAAAGATGAATACCCAATGCCTATTGCACAAATGCTAGTCGACTTAGCAACATGTTTTGAGTATTTAAGCCTTTTAATTGGCTACTCTGAGTATAACCAAATTTTCATCGCAGAATAAGATGTGTCGTAAACGAAGTTTCAAAGTCATTGAGCCTTAGTAACCCATGAACGGGAAGTAATGCCTTTTTGCCTAAAGAGTTTGATGCGACATACCAAAGGGTAATAAATTATATGTTTCAATATTTTACTAAAACCTTTATGCAGGTTTATATTGATGACATAGTTGTGAAATCCTCATCAAAAAATGGCCATTTAAACCATCTTCGACAATCCTTTTAAAGGATGAGGAAATATGAATTAAAAATGAATCCAATCAAATGTGCTTCTGGTCTCCATGCAAACGATTTTCTTGGTTTTGTGGTTCATAAAAAAGAAATAGAAATAAATTAGAACAAGATAAAGGCGATACTCAATACAAGCTCGTTGTAGAATAAAAAGCGACTTCAATCCTAGTTGGGTAAGATTAATTTCTTACGGAAGGTTATTTCAAATCTAGGTGGCAGAATGAATATATTTTTCCATTGCTTCATTTGAACAAAGAAGAAGGATTCAGATGGAAACCAGAACATCAACAAGACTTTGATGAAAATAGAAATTATTTGGCAAATCCTCCTATCTTATTACCTCCTATGAGAAGTAGGTATATGCAACTGTATATTTTTGCATCTGAATTGACAATAGGAAATATGTTAGCTCAAGAGGATGATGATTGAATTAAAAGAGACATTTATTACCTTAGTAGACTTTTGAATGATACATAAACTAGGTATAACCCAATAGCAAAGTTATGCCTCTGTTTGTATTTCTCTTGTACCAAATTGAAATTTTAAATGAAACCTACTGATGATTTTGTCTATTCCCATTATGATGTTATTAAACATATGTTGTCAAAACAAATTTTACACAATCGAATTGGGAAATGGACTCTGGCCTTGACTAAATACTCTTTAACATATGCCCCTTTAAGGGTTGTGAAAGACCAAGTTGTTGTTGATTTTATTGTCGATCGTGCAATAGTTAAAGTAACATAAAATTATGTTGATTTAAAACCTTGGAAATTATACTTTGATGGTTTCGGACATAAAAATGGAATTGGCATTGTAATTCTAATGATTTCCCCTAAAAGAATTCCAACAAAGTTCAAATTTAGACTTACAGGTTGTTGCTCAAATAATAAGACTGAGTATGAAGCTTTGATAGCATGCCTTGATATGCTTTTAGATTTGGGAGCAAAAAGGGTCGAAATTAAAGGTGATTTAGATTTGGCAGTGAAACAATTAAACAAATAGTATAAACGTATCAAAGAAAATCTATTAATATAGTTTGTCAAGGACAATTCATTATTAAGAAGATTTCATGAAGTCAAAATGAATCACATGCCTCAAATCGAAAAACAAGAAGCTAATAACTTAGCACATATTGCTTATGGTTATAAAGTTTCTAAAAAAAATATTAGAAGAATTGATTGAGGTAATTGGAAAGACCCATTTCAAATCAGCTGGGTATTTTCAAATAATGCCTATGAAGTCAAAGAATTGACTCCTGAAAGTCGAACTCTAAAAATAAATGGCAAATACTTAAAGATATACAAGCCTATGTTGCAAAAAGTTTAAATAATAGGAGAATAATATATAAGCAATCAAGATGTCAAAATGACATTGAAATTAAAAATTACCAAAATGACACATTGTCATTAATACAGTTACACAATAGAAAAAAAGAAGTAAAAAATTCAAAGAGGAAATTTAACCTTAATCTTCTCCAAGTGTTTCTTCCAAGCTTAATCCTTGTATCATTCATTGAATCTTCAGTTTTTAGAGGCCAAAATTTCTTCTTCCGATAGATCAGAAGTCTCCACATACCAAAAACCGAGGTTGGCCTCTTGAACTAACTTTTCTTCAAGAGAATGTAACCCAAAATTTTCAATTTGAGCCTTTTTTTTCATTACACCTATTTAATCTTTTGTTTCATTTCTTAAACTTGTTTCGTCCGGTTTGAAATTTAGTCTTCACAGACCACTACTTGATCTTTACTCTTTGTAGTTTGAGCGTCCAAATCACCAGCTCGAAGTTGAAACTGAACAACTAAGTTCCATTATTGATATATAATGTCATTCTTTTGCCTAAGTTTGTTCGCAAACTCTTTTTTCATATTTATATTCTGAGCAATTTGATCGAGAAATGGTTTAGTCTCTAGAACAAAATTACAGTAGCTATAGTTGAAAAAGGTTTCTCAAAATGAATTACAGTAGCTATAGTTGAAAAAGGTTTCTCAGCATCAGACACAAGGATTATCTTGTTTAATTGCTGAATAAAACACTATTAAGATTTAAGAAATCAAATCAACCATTTCAGATGCTGATCTGAAATCCTGTTCTTCAACAACAATCAATTTATTGACAACAATACAAATTCACATATATGTAATTAACATATAACTTTTACATCTTCACATGAAAAATCCAACACAGTCACATAATCATATAAAACAGAAACAGAAACATGTCCAAGATTATTACAATTTTACAAAACATCACAGAAAAGAAAAACCAAGAATCAATTTTCTTAACAAACTCTATTATAAGTACCGCATCTATTGTTAGGCCCGCCACCATTTTGAGAGGGCAAGCAAGTACGATAGGCTTTAATAGTTCCACACTTAACAGCCGCACCATTGTTGTTAGCTGTTCTACCTGTTTGAGTTTGACTCTGATCCAAAAGCATCCTTGCCACATGAGAACTCATCAAGAATTCCGATTCCAAATCATCGTTGATCAGACAATCCTCTGAGCTACAGCCTCCTATCTTCAATGAAATTGTTTTGCTTAGATGTAGTTGGATCAATAAGATAAGGAACAATAGTGAAAGAGTACCCTTGTTCATTTTCTGTCTTTTTTGGAACTCTATTTTCTCTTCACACCAGAAAAATGATAGTTCCTTGAATAGCTCCAACAACTTGTATTCTATTTGTAATTAAATAATCATAAAATAATAAAGGAATCTTTTTCCTTTTGTATATATAATTAAAAGTTTAGACGACTTGAATTTTCATAACACCATAGGATATAGAAAACTTTTTATATATTGTTATTGTAAATATCTTATTATTTTAATATTTTTTTTAAAAATAATTTTTTTATAAAATTATTTAAATTTAAATCTATTTTAAATATTTTTTTCTTAAAAATTGTTTTTGAAATATTTTGTGATTTTAGTTGTGTTTTAATTTTTAATAATATATGATTATATTATTGAATATTAAAATTAATCTTTTAACTTATTAAAAAATAAGTTAAAAACACATCAATTATATTAAAATAAAATTATAAAAAATATTTATGAAAATACAACTAAAAAAATAGGATTCTGTTAATGAATATATATATATATATATATATATATATATATATATATATATATATATATATATATATATATATATATATATATATATATATATATATATATATATATATATATATATATATATATATATATATATATATATATATATATATATATATATATATATATATATATATATATGAAATAATAAATTAAAAGTGTATGTTAAGCTGTCAACATTATAGTTTTTTTTTATAAATAATTGTGAGGAAAGCATATGCATTGACTTGTCTGGTATGTTATGATTGGTCTTGTGAAAAACTCTTAACCTCAAAATTTAATTTATATATTTTAAATATTGTGAAAATAATATGATGAAAATGAAATGGGTTAGTTAGTGGGTATTTTATTTGTTGTTTCTTTAACATTATTGTATGGTGGTTGTATACTCAATTTATAATGGTAGGGACTTGATTATGAGTTTCTCTTATAAAAGGGATAAGGTTGTCTTCTTGACAGCCAATAGATTTGTTAGTGTGGAATTTTCAAGGGATCCTTCCTTTTACTTTTAGGGAGGTTTTGGATTTTCTACTTTTTGCATTTGGTTTTTCTTTTGTGTCTTCAAGTGTATATTGTTTTGGGTTAAATTTACTGAGAATTGTTTGATATTCTGATGGATGGTTAGCATAGATATTCTAAATAAAATTAATTTAAAGTTTAAATTAATTTAAAGTTAATTAAATATAAAAAGGATAACCTAATATTAAATAATTGATTAATAATTTTTTTTCAATTAAATTCTAAAATATTGAAATGTTTATTTAAATGTGTTAAATAGGATAAGATCATCATTCAATATTCATTAAAAAAATAATAATCAACATTTAACATTAACTATTATGCCAAAGTGTTAGCAAAGGTATTGATTTAAATTGTTGTTTTTATTTATAAGAGATACTTTATTTTTTTAAAGTTAATTAAATAATCAATATATATATTTATCATTTAATTAATGTAAAAAGTCAACTTTCTTTAATAAATAAAATAAAAAAGAGTATGTAATAAGTCACATGTAACTAGTGCTAAGAATAATGTTATGAACTAGATCAAGATCCAATCCACTAGAAACCACATCATTTAAGTCTCATGAGTTAAAAGAGGGTTAAGGGATGAGATGTTATAGAAACACATTTGATTAGGATGATTGATCCTATAAAGATCGTTAAATGACAAGCACTTCCAGGATCTTCAGATATACGTCGTTTGAGACAACCGTCCCTAAAGAAGATTCAATTGCCTTTAAACTCTTGAGTCTAACTATAAAGTCTAAGAAACATGTTAGACTCAGGTACACGATATTCTAAATCATAAAATCTCATGCTTACGTTTGTCATTAACTTGGTCTTTAAAGTGTTTTTAGGCACACTCCTACCACCAAGCATATTCGAGAAGTTTCTTCGTACTCGAGTTCATTAGCATCATTACCATCACCAACAAAACTTGAAGATAAGGATCCCCTAAATTATTTGGCCCTGTCTGTGGGAAACATCATTAAATTTTCCATTTTATTTCTATCTTGATGACAAAACCAAAGTACGAGTTAATTGTGAATCCACCCATTATATAAGACATTAACAATTTTTTGAGAAACCTCATAATAATTCTTCAAATATTGTCAGAAGTTATGCATATGCGAAATGATTGCGTGAGACAGGCATGCCAAACAGGTGAAAAGGAATGATACAATGGATCGAGCAAGAGACAATGTATTGTCAACGAATGAAACCCTTAGACACGGTTTCCACATATTATGCATAAAAATGAGACTAGGAACGCCTACGTCGCTACAAAGAAAGAGGTTATGCTGGAACATCAAATGACCCCACTGTACCCAACGGAGCATTCAGTCAGTGAGAGAATTTTACATCATTGTTACCAACCTCATACATTTTTACACGTTTTAGAAGATAATGTACCCATCAACACCCCCAACAAGGGATGAATCAACAAGGCATATCCACTTGTGCGATACTCATGTCAGTAATAAGGGGCTTCCAAACTTCGAGAAGATAACATGTTACTTCCTAAAAACATGATATTTATGTTTGTAAATCTATACAGTGATGATTTGTGCTTTTAGGTTTCGGCCAAGGATAAAGATATTTATGCCTAAACCTAACATGATCACTTATAACATGATATACATATCTATTTGATGTTGAGATATGATTTTAGTTTTGGACATGTTTAATCGTCTATAGTAAGCTAGAGTCTAGAGTGTTGGGGAGTCTGGGAATGTCGGGAGCACCAAAGGGACTAATGCTTCAGGACCACAAGAGAGGGAGTCACATCTTAACCTAAAACCTGATACTAGTTGCTGAAAAAAATACAAAGTATAGAGAAAAAAGGAAAACAATCACAACACAAGAACATAGCGTAGAAACTCCAAAAACCGAAGAGAAAAATGCAACTATTTTCAATAGACTACTAGAGAATAACACTATATAAAAATTGTTACAACACATAATATACCCTAAACTAACATAGGCCCCTAGTTCAACTACATCCTCCAAAACAAATATTTAAGTACATCTCACAACACTATAATACAAGAGTATAAGAGAACAGAGAAAGTCAAATACAAGCTTAAAGTGTTTTTGACTGGTGCATTTTGGAATGAAGAACTTGAATTCTATATATAGCATAGGACTCCTTATTCCTTCATAAAACTAAGCGATGTGGGACTTCAAAGAACTTGAATCCTATATATAGCCTTGGACTCTCTCTTCATTCACAAAACTAAGCGATATGTGACTCCTCCAACATGTATATTTTCAACCAATCCCAACAATATCCACCTTGATTGAAAATAATACATAAGCTTTCATTGTCTTCACGGACAATCATATTCCACCATAAAGAGTATCAACATGTATATTTTCAACCAAATCCAACAATCTCCACCTTGATTGAAAATAATACATAAATTTTTATTATCTTCACCAACAATCATACTCCACCATAAAGATTATCAACATGTATATTTTCAACCAACCCCAACATAAAGATAAGTCTAGAAGTGGTATTTACATTTACCATTGAAGCTCAATGTTATCATATTGTTTATTAGACATAAATATCATCAAATAAACTATATTATTGATATTGTGATGTTATTTTCAACATGGATAGTATGATAGAGCAATAGGTGATGATAAAGGTCGATACAACTAATCATTCATATGCATGTGATTATATTAGCTGCAATCTAACTCCATCATCTCCTAGTAACATTTTAACTTTAATTTTCTTAATTATTTATAATTTGAGAAAAAAATTATAAAAATAAACCTAAAACCCAAATAATTTAAGATAGAAAATTTTGCTCATAAGGTGTATTGTTGCACCAATCCCTCTAGATACGATAACTTTACTCACTGCATAATAGATACCTTCAAATTACTCGAGGGAATAGAGAGTCCTTTATGGGGGCAAGGGCCCCCAAGCCCTTGTACTTGCATTCATAAGTGGGGGAGAACTATATATCTTTGGCTCCTCTACATTATATTAATATGCAATTAGATTTTATATTAATGTTTACTTGTCATTGCCAAGTTTTTTTTTCTGACAAACATCATATGTTTTGATTCTTTCACAATTAATGTTTCTTGTTATATAATTTGTATGTGTTAGTCCTAATGCAATTTGATGTCAAGGGAATGAGACGGAGAGAGAGAGAGAGAGAGAGAGAGAGAGAGAGAGAGAGAGAGAGAGAGAGAGAGAGAGAGAGAGAGTAAAAAGAAGTAATTGTATTATTAGGATTGATAATGAAATTTAGTTACAATATTTTTATATACAACTAGGTGGATTGACTACTAAGTAACAAATCCCAACCCTAACTAACTTGGACTTGAGCCACAACTTGGATTATACCATAACATACCCCCTTATAATTCAAGTTGTCGAACATAGACTAATCATAGTTGATTTGAAATATTCCTAATTTCTATCTCAACATTAGGAATTTGTCGATCTTCATTCCTTTGGTGAAAATGTCAGCCAGCTGTGCTTCACTCGAGCAATGCCTCACTTAAAGTTCACCCTGGTTTATTTTCTCCCTTAGGAAATGAAACCTATAATCAATATGATTACTCCTTCCATGCATAATTGGATTCTTTACAAGATTAATCGGTGACTTGTTGTCAATCTGCATCACTTGGGGTTTCTTCACTTTAACCTCTATCTCTTGCAACACAAATCTGATCCAAATTTCTTGACACGCAACATATGATGCTGCTGTATATTCAACATCACATGATGATAATGCCACCACGGGTTTCTTTTTTGAGCACTATGAGATTGGGGCATTAAATACTTGAAAGAAATAACCAATTGTGCATCTTCGATCTCTCTTATCTCCACACCAATTAGCTTCTGAATAGTAAGTAATATCAGATTCTTTTCTTTCAAACTCTCATGGAAATAGTTTCTCAATCCTTTTAAGTATCTCAGGATTCTTCTTGCAACCTTCATGTGTG